ATGATTTTTATGTTGTTAAAAATATTGATCGAGACATTATAATAGGACAAGATTTTCTATTCTCTCATAATGTTGTCATAGATTTTAGAAGGCATTTATTATATGTCAAACACATTGTATGTCAATTTTTGACAAAGTCTGAATTGATAAAAGATAATAATGTTGTCGATGTCTCTAATAATTATTTATATTCTTATAAAGAAAATGATAAATATTTGTATAAGTCACGTGTAGTGAATGCAAATAAAGAAAATCCTAATATCAATATTTCTCTTAAGTCAAAGGAGAATAATAATAATAATAATATTAAGAATTTAGTTATAAAAGATAAGTCTTCTTTAAAGAGAGAAAATACAAACAATAAGAATTTTGTTCATAGAAATATTCATGAACAACATAAAATCTTTAGGAAAACATTAATTTTCTATAATAGCAAGTTAGATCGAAATGTGAAATCATCATATTATGATACTAGAGATAGAAATGTCAATTTTTATTTAATGAGTAATAGAAAAAATATTTTTAATTCGTATTCTTTTCAGAAAAGTTTTCACAATAGAAAAGATAGGATACATTACTTAAATTGTCGTAAAGAAAAGACTGATCTCATTAAGGTTAGGTTGTATAGGTTGAATGTAGACAAATATAAAGACAGGTTTCCTTATCAGATAATACGACCAATTGATAATAATAATGTTATAATAAGAAGGTTAGGAAGTTATAGGATAAAGGTAGTCCATGCTAATAGAATTAAACCATTTAGAATTCGAGGAAGTAGGTATTAGGTTAATGTATTTTCATTATTATAATAATAATTCTTAAATTCGAGGAAGTAGGTATTAGGTTAATGTATTTTCATTATTATAATAATAATTCTTATTTCTTTTAGGAGATAGATATTTAAAGTAATATGAATTTTTAAGTTTTCTAAGTCATATAATGATAATGTTGAAGTTGTAATTTTAATTTATTTTCTTTTATTTAGGAACTATGACAGGTTCGATTCCTTGTTCAAGTTTAGTTGATAGTGAGCTAATTTCGAATAATAATATTAATCCAATATGTGTTTAATATATATTGTCATGTGAAATAGTTGTTTAATTATTGTTTATTTATTGTAAAAATTTTAAGGATGTTTGTTAATACTGTTTAATTGTTTCATGTTCATACTTCATCTGCCGGATTCCCGTAAGAGCATGATGAAGCTGGCGCGTATCCTGACGTCAGCAATACGGAGGGCCTACTATGAAGCATCTCTGTTGATAAGTCGACAGACACCCACTTCATGTGCGCGTCGACATTATTATTGTATCGCGCGTAGTGTTTATACATAGGCATTGCGAGGGTCGGGGAACCCATCTGGTTCCATAGGAATTGGGTTTCGTCTTGTTTGATGCTGGACGTCCTTAGGCTCCATATGTCAGTTTGTTGTCTCATGGGTGTCAATGATTTATCATGGATGCTTATAAGATATACACATTGTCATTGGCCATATCCGTTTGTTTATTATTATTGGGTTGGATATTAACTTTAATTGATTCGATTTTGCTTGATTTTAACTACGGGAATCGGGAATATCATATGATAGCTGTATTTAAAATAAAGTTTGTTGTGTTTGGGTTTTGACGTCATCCAATATCAAACTTAGGGTTTTGATGATTGTAGTCATTTGGGAGACGTACAGGTGCTTTTATTGAGGTTTTGCACTTGTAGAGTTTCTGCAATGTGAAGAATTCCTTAAGAAGTCTGAACAATAATGTAGTAAATTGGAATTTCATTGCAGGAGCTGGTTTATTAGTAAAAACCGCCTCCTCTAAGTTCCTCAAGCAGGTAGGACTTAGGGTTTAGACTTCTGTAAAAATTATTCGAGCGTCTTCACACGCTCTAATAATTTTTTTTAGGGAGCCCGGGCATGTAACGTCCGAGCACATTACTATAGGTAGGGTTTACTCTTCGGACGGTTTATGGTCAAGTGCTGGCCGTTAATATTTTAAATTATTACTTTTTTATATTCGAATTCGCGTGTTCGTGTTTTGCTGGTGAATAGTCTTTCTTTTCTGATCGAGACCAGCTTAGGGTGAGCATCGTAGTATAATTATTGTAAGTGCTTAACTGTAATTCTTATCAGATATAAATCAAGACTAAGGAGTGCTACCAGTTTTTTTCATTGCGCCACCCACCTCCACCATTAGACTAAGTTGCCATAAGTCGCCACAGTAGATTACCCGTCCCGCCTCCTGGAGACCCAACAGAAAGATCCCGCTCCTAACTCTTCTGGCTCCGATCCTTCAGGTCAACCCTTGTTTCCGTCCACTCTCAGCGCTACCCCCTCAGGGTAACAGCCACACAATTTTGAAGGGCATCACGCAGCACCCTTCTGCTGGTAAGTGATAGCTCCTCTCCCCGAGCTCCACACCCCGACCCTTCAGAATATCAACCCCCATCCGATCTTGCGGATCCCCTTCATGGAGTCAGCTGTATTTTCAACCCGATGAACCGAGACCTCCGGGGTTAACGGGTAACATCTCGAAGTCACAATAATGGTAATGTCTGCGGCGCCCCCCCCCCCCCCACCTCGCGGGGGGCTGTCGCTCCGTCGAATGTTCGTTGCTCCTTTAGGTCACGCAACCAACTGTTCAAGGCGGTGTTTCGGTGTTTAGTCAGTTGGAGTCTGACATAACCTCACAGCCAGCTGCGTGGTATCCAATGAAGCATTCACCGCCTCCTTTCCCCGTTGGGAAGGTGGTTCCCAACCTCTAAGGTAGGTAAGGTTTCAGTGACTAGGGAACTGAGTTCATATTCAGCCTTGCGATTTTATAAAAATCCAGACCAGCCCTGCGATTCTGTATAAATCCAGACCTGAATACGAATTTCCTCATGTGTCTGAATTCACGTCATTTAGTATAGAAATTCTATTGATTCCATTTTTTGTCTAAAAATACAAAACAAAAATGATTGTAATACATGTCTCAGATATATCATGTCTCACTTTACTTATGCTACGAAACGTTATTACCAAAGCAAGGTTGAGCGGATGCCGCTTTTTGAAGTAAAGTCGGACATTTTAATGTATTAGGGTTTTATAGAATCGCAAGGCAGTTTACTAGTTACTGAAAGAATGCGATTTATCGATCGAAAGCGAAACTCGAAACGAATACTAGCGAAGTGAACACTATCTGGACGATTTAATAGTGTTGTGAAGTGTTATCAGTGACGAGAAATAGTGAAAATGAAGTGTCAATTATGTAGTTGGATTATTTTTGTAATTTTATTGTGTTAAATGAAGTCGGATTGTGAACTATAATTGGCGTTAATTTTTATCCTGTACCTGAACTTGTAACAATATTAATATTAAATAAAAGCAAGATTTACATATTTATTATATCTTTCGTTTTACATATTTACGAAGTAATATATAAAAAATATACGATTAATGTCGAACGAATGTAAGAGCAAAGTACTTTCGGCATCACGCATAAGTTTTTGGGGGATTCCTCGAGTAGATCGTATGACTCTTTTAATGCTGCCATACGAAAAAGTTTCAGAATGTGATATAAATTACCCATAAAGAATAGTATGATGTGTGTAACATGTTATCTAATCATTTATTTGGTTTGACCCATTTTGAGTTGAATATTATTACAGAGTATGAAAACTCAGTATAAAAATTATAGTTAATCGTCGTTGAATAAAGATTATTTTGACTTTTGACTTTTGACTAGTGAAGACATGGTGACGAGTTAAGTCAAAAGTTAAGGTGCAAAATGGGATTTAATTAAAGTACAAACGTTTTCATTTCAAAGCAAAAAGGATATATTAGAAACATAAGCGGTGGTGTCTCATAATAACACGAATATAGACTTATTAGTATTTCGGCTGGCTCGGACAAAAAACGTAGATGATCTGTTAATTAAAAAATCTATGTAAAAAATAATGGTGTGCGGAATAGATTATCAGAAAATCGATTAATCGATTATTCAAATAATCAGTTGCTATCGTATATTATTGCCTAATCGTCGATTAACTATCGATTATTCCTTTAAACATTAGCAATAGAAATAGTTTAAAACGTTAGTATAGTACCTACTTACTTTACTTCGATGGCTCAGCAACCTATAGCGGATCGCGAGTGTGATTATTTTTAATAGATATTCTAATACTTATTATGGCAACCCTGCTCACACATACTCCCACGAACAAATAGGTAACTTTACTCTTTGGTTGGGGAACTCCCGATGAATGAATGAAAGATTCTTACAGTATTATTTTAACAAATACAAATTAACCGTTTCTTACAAAATGCACATTTAAGTATACACGATAGATACCTATACCAAAACCATATTTTTTACAGTTTTTGTCTGCCTGTTTGTTCCGGATAAACTCTGAACGGTTAGACCAATTTTTTACGGGACTTTCACTGGCACATAGCTTATGTAATAAGGAATTACTAAGGCTACTTTCCAAGCAGACGAAATCGCGGGTACAACTAGTTTAAATCTATAAATTTTGCATGCACAATGCTGGTATAGTAAACATTGTCTTAAAATAGATTTTTAACTATTATTCATTAACTTGGATGGCTTTAATTTAATAATCCTTGACATAAATCGATTATAATCGTTTATTAATCTATTACGTGGAATACTGTAATCGGTTAATCGATGTGTGTATATATATATATATATACATATGTACATCATAATTTTTAATTATACATAAAAAAAGAAGGCAAGGTTTGTTTATTTACTAAAGTGACGTCATACGCGGCGGAATGGCGGCGCATGACAGACACAGCGTTTTCCGCGTGGTTTAGGAAATTTAAACTTTTACTTTGATTTTTATTGATAATTACAATAAATTTCTCTAAAACATTAATCTTATGTGCTTATTATATAACTATTTAAAACTATTTTTCAACATAAGTCTAAAACCGTATTCAGAATATAATCGATACTCATTGTAACCGATTACTTTACGTCTCTCGACTCGATACAAATGGCGTTGAATGGCGTTGTTTGTCATTGAAATAAAAAACGTGTGTTTACGGTGTTTCTTGAATTTACTTGTGTACCTTGATAATTTTCGCTCAGTATCTTTGTTTATTAGATACTAAATATGTCACGAGATCCTCGCAAATCTTTTTATGATAGAGACCGCGTCCCGATTTGGGGTCGTTCAGATTATCGAAGTCGCGATCGCCCTTTATCGCGGAAAAGGACTCGAAGTAGGAGTCCGCCGATGGGAGATAAGCGTCGCAGTGGATCACCCCGTAAAAACGAAAAGGACTTGTTGGACGAGAACATTTTGAGAGAAATCTCAAAGCTACCTGAACCAAGCGAGTTGTGGGATAATAATCAATTTCAAGAAAATGCGAACTACAACAGTGCTCCACCGCCGCCCGCATTTCAAACAGAGGTACATAACTAAGATTACTAATGAACGTGACGTGCTTTTGTTGTAAGGCTCATAGGAATCCATTTATAATTTTAGTAAATTGCAAATTAATCTACTTATGAAAATTCTCAAAATATACAAAACCTTTCTTAGCGGCTACTTTATATCTCATCATCCAATTACAACAATAAAAAAAATATGTAATTACTAGTAACAAATGCTTGTAGCAAAAAAATCAAATTATCGACTCCATTAGTATAACTATTACAATCAAGAAATTTAAAGTTACTTGACATTTTGCAGGCTGTACCAAATTTTCAAAGCAATTACCAGCCTTCTTTCTCTGGCATATATGATGACTTTCCTCCGGCTGCGCCCCCACCTACGATGCCTCAAGAAATTGCTTCATGGAACCAAATGTCCTTGCCACCGCCCCCAGCTCCTACACCGTTTGTTAATAATGTAGAAGAACAAATAAAAAAAGAAGGTAAGTTAAAAATAGATGGTAATTGTAATAAATCAATTTACAGATAACTGAGATTTTACTTCATAACAAGAAAGAAGCTAACCCAATGAAGGTAATAATCAAATAGAATTGTGAGTTGATACTTGTCGATAATTGTAATAGCAGTCTCTTTCATAAAAAATAACCGTGAAGTTTCAGTGTTGCATTTTGTAATTATAATTTTTTATGGAATATAAACTAATGCATGACTGAAAATATATTTATTGTTAAGTTTCTGCATAATTTTTTCACCAATTGAATGTACCTACTAATATTTATTGAAGCACATGCATGATTTCTATAATAATATGCAGGTTTTTGTCTATTTTACAATGAAATAATTCAACACACAAATCACTACATGTGACAAAAAAAAAATTACAAGATAATGTTACATTAAGGAAATATATTTGATTGTATTTAAATGTGGTTGTAGTATAGAATGGAACATTTTTGTGTTTAACTGTTTTTGTTATCTGTTAAAGCTGCTTCGAAGTAGTGATTTTAGTATAAAATTCTAACAATATCAAATTTTGCTACAGGTTAAAGTGTCAAAATAAATAAAAATATGTATTATAAATTCAATCATGTTGGTGTTACAGAATAGTTATATATTTAGAATGCTATGGTAATTGAAATAGTTAATTATCTTTCTTTAGGCTATGGTTGCAGCCACAGAGTAAGTTTCTATTGCAGGTGCTTTCTATTTAGTGTGTTTCGCGTTATTGAAGTTGGTATGGAGACATGGGCTTACTATTATAAGACATCATGATTCATATAGGAAGCCTAATTGACAGCTTGATATTTATATTTGCTGTAAAAATGTGTCATGAAGTGTGCCTACATAAAAATTTAAGTTAGGAACACTAGTGTAAGTTCAATTTGCTTTAATTAATATGTCTATTCTGATTTGCAAACATTAGCTTACACTGTTTTTCTTTATTCAGCTGCTATAGAGACTGAGATGAGACATCAGAAGGCAGCACTGTCCAAGCAGAGGGAAGACTACATAAAGAAAGCAAGCATTCTGAAAAAAGAACTTGATACATTGAAGGATCAACGTGATGAACTTCGAGGTGATGCAAAACGCTCACCAAGTCCAGACACCAAGAGGTTTTTGAAGGAAAACACAAAGCTGCAGGTTTGCTGACATGACTATGTTATGAAATGAAAAAAAACAGCTCTTATTTTTGTTTTATTATACTATGATTGACAGCTCCATCAAAATCTTAGTTGTGTATAGATGTTGTACAAACATTGCTTTAATTATTAATGCTTTTTACACAACTGAGAGTTTTGGTGACCTAGCCCGCCTTGTTTAGTTGGAGATCCAGAACAAGTTGAAGACCATCAACAACGTGGTGGACATGCTTAATGGTATCATCGGTGAGGAAGCGCACACTGAAATTGTGCATGACTCCGATGACTCTGGGAAAGGCTCTAAGCAGAAGTCCAGGTTTGTAGTTGCTGTATATTTATTAGCAATCTTGTCAAACTTGAAAGTATGTAATGCCTGATCCTTAGAATATGAAAACGGTAAGAAGGTGGTTTGCGACCTTCACATATGCCTTTTGAGATTATTTGCCACTCACCATATTATTTTTTATTCTTTCCAAACAAGCAAGCTTTTTCCCGTAAACTGTTAATAGACCTATAATAATAAGTTGATAGCTAAAAATCTTTAAGTTTGACAGGACAGTTTTTATATGTTTAAATTTGGTGAGTACAAACAGCATATTGTGGTCAGTTTTTATTATACTTTGTCCAAACCGAACAGGACTGCACGAGAGCTTATGCGTGAGGAAATGTAACATGAGCTTAGCTTTAAGAGTGAACTGACATATGAAAGCAATACAGCAGCAGCGACAATATTGCAAGATAACACCAAGCTTAATGAAGATAATATACATGTATATTCACTGTTTGTTTTATTATTAAGTGACACTATTGTAAGCTATTGTTCATTTGCTGTGGTTTTATTTAGCATAAGGCAACTGTGATATAATAAATGTAAATGTTTTGTAAAATAAAAGTCCATTTAATGTTCTCTTCCATTGTGATACCCAATAGTTCAAATATTGCATTTATTACATAGTACAGTTTGCAGAATTTGCGTAAAACAATTGTGGATGTTATGTATATAATGTTATAATCACACATATACTCGACAAATGTTGTCTGATTTTATCTGTCTATTGTGAATTGTTTTTAAAATTAAGATGGATGAAGTTGTTGATTATAATATTCATAGCTTTAATTGTTAAAAGACAATAATTATGTACATATATACAAATTATTTTTTTGTTATAAATTAAATATTTAAAAAACCGTTAAAGTGTTTTTTTATCTTTTCATCGTTTTTACTTTGTATGGAGTTGAAAGTATTTACTGAATACACCTATTACTTCAACTTATTAATTCCACGGCTTTTACATCATATTTTATGTTTTGGTTTAAGGTTTGAATCTGCGTCTGATCGGAGAAAAAGGTTATTTATTTGTTTGAAATTTAATGATATATGTATATATTGTTTTAAAGCAATGTGTTGTTACATTAGAGTTTATAATGGCAGGTCTCCTTCGAACAAGAAGTTTAACTACGTGTACTATGATCCGGAGATGCACTGGTGTCGCGTGTGCAACGAGTTTCCTCCCACCGCTAAAGATTATTTGAACCACCTGCATTCTGCGGCTCATCATAAGTGAGTTGTCATTTTATAAGTAATTTTTCGCTACAACTTCGTTGACTAATAGTTTGCATGATTCTCGTGTATATGTGGCAGCCAACTGATTGAAACGGCCATTCGGGTGGTTAGTCAGGTGAACTGAATGACGTCACTGTAGAGACAGTACATATCCATCACTGCGGCTGTAGTTTTATTTAAAAAATGGCGTCTATGGCCGTTGTGTATTTAAGACCATTCTGCGTTCGATAGTCGCAATTCGAGCAGAACTATGGGTCCATCGATGTCATTTATAAGATTACATTATCATAATATTCATTCAAATATTGATGAGTACATTCACATAAAATTACCATCTTACTTACACTTAGATGTACACTTAGACCTACAGCTGTAAGTAGTGTTGTAGTAGTTTTTGTAATGGTAAAAGTTGCGATCGAATGGAACAGTGTTTTATGTGTATCGTGAAGGAAACTATTGCGTAGGATGGCGGCGGCGCACATGGAGGCGCCGTGGCACAGCGTCGCCGGCATCAACGAGGGCTTCCCCAACTACCCCTCCGCGCCCACCAAGCGGACGCCCATCAAAGGTTCACTACATTCAAAACTTATAATATGCACTTTGGAAAACTGAGCAGCATGCATGGGAATTGAAAAAATAAAAACAAATTTCAATTTATTTAACAAGTTTAAATGCTATTCGAGTTTAAAGTTTATTTTTGTTAGCCACGTTTTAAATCGCATAGTATGTTTTATTTTCCTTTTCTCGATCGTCAAATCGAACACAAAACAGATGGTGTCGTCTGTCTCTTAAAACATAACTATAACATATTGAAACATAAATTGAAGCGCTATTCAAAACTGCATGAATGTGAGGCGGTGGCACTGTGGTCACCTGAAATATTATGCACATTTAATACAACTCTTTGTTGCAACCAGTCTTATCAAACTTGAACGTCTGTGGCCGGCATAATAGGTTTATATCCAACAGCAAACAATTGAAAGTCTGCTACTGCTCACTAACTATGAACTCGAAACGTTTTTCTTGCAATATATATATTTGTGAATAAGAGTGTGTCGTCTGAAATAGTTGATAATGTGTATAGGTTTGCAATTCTTCGTGCCCTCCACGGCGTGGTACTGCAAGCTGTGCGATCAGTTCATCGGCGACTTGCATTGCGCCTCCGCCCATCTCAAGTCTGTTACGCATTCCAAAAACTACACTGTAAGTTGAATAGGTCATGTTTGATCTAATATTATTTTAAGTCAGCCGGTATCATCTATCAAATTATTTGTTAGATTTGCATTAAATTTGATTCGTCATATTAATATAATATGTAGTTGTCCTATAAATAACCGAATATTGCATTGTATTAGCTGAAAAAAGCGCGTATACTTTTCTAACAGTGTTAAAATTTTTAGGTTTGAAAATTACACTTTTTCAATAATATTCAATTTAGTATTTCATGTGTGTGTGTGTGTTTATTGTGTTTATCTTAAATTGATTTATAAAACTATATTTTTTTCTAATTACACGTAATTAACTCCCTTTTATCAGAACTTTGTAGAGCAAAATCCGCACTGGGAAACAGATTGGATGTCAGATCGTCAGAAAGCATTTGAGAAAGCTAGAGCTAGTAACAAGCTGAAGGCGCCCGAGGAGAAGCCTCAGTACACCGCGCACACGATCACGTTCCACAAGGACGGCTTCCACACCAAGAACACAGACCTGCCGGTGGCCGCGCCGCCCGAAAAGAAGAAGAAGAAAGAGAAAAAGAAGAAGTCGAAGAAGAAGCAGAGCAGCAGTAGCAGCTCGTCCAGTAATTCGAGCAGCTCTGATAGTGAAACCGAGAAGAAGAGGAAGAAATCTAAAAGTGAGTGTGACATAATGTTATGTTTGTTAATTAAACTTGAATACTTTTATTCAATGTTATGTGCACTTACACGGTTATTTTTTTACTACCACCAAGTTAATTATGTTAATAATACCTATAAATTTGCACTTTTTTGTTCATTAGCCAAAAAGGAGAAAAAAATTGGCGCCACTGATGAGAAAACATTAACGGAATGGATGACCGCCATACAAATGGACAGACTAAATGAAAATGATAGGAAATTGTTGGACACTTTGAAAAGCAGGTATGTTTACTGATGAACGTAATCTAAGTTGAGAGTCGGTATGCTCATGACCATACAATTGTTTTTTGAACTTTAAAGATATGTATTATATTAAGGTGTTTTATTCAAGCTGTTTAGATGAATTACCTGAACATTGACCTTGCAGTGAAAATAACAAGTGCTGGAGAAATTCATCAGCCCATCTAGGTGACAGGCTGTTCAACGGTTAGAGCAGTCATCCGAATCATGAAAGATTATGGATTCAGATCTCATCTCTTATACTGACGATTAAGATAAAATTTCCCCAAATATGCAGCTAAGCTGATATGCTCGTCATATTTCAAGTTCATGTGTAAAATCTTTATATCTAATTCGTTTTCAGTCTTATATAAGAAACATTGTTATTAGATATTTCTGAAGCTTATTATGGAGAAAATATGAATTCGCTAGATTGAGAGATAAATTGATCTTAGCTTTTCCTTTATATTAAGTAAACTTGCCATAATAAAGACTTTGTTGCAGAATGAAAGCAGATAAACTGAAGGAGGAAAAACGTAGGTCTCCAGACAGAGACTCGTCCCCTGATCCTAGACGGAAAAGGTGAGATGCGAAATAATGTTTATTTTATAAACATGAATTTTGTCAGTTTATGAATAGTTTTTAAGTAAAAGTAGTGTAGTTATTTCATATTATTTCTGTTCTGTAAAAGTCTTGATAGTTTTTGAAAATTATCACATTGTGTTTCTATATATTTCACTTTAGATGCTTCGATCAGTTCATGGTATGTGAAGACCTATCCAGCTTCGCTCAAAAGCGCAGAAGCTTATTATAATTTTCACAGGCTTAATGGAGTGACGATGATTGCTCTAAATTTACAATTATACCTTCGGAGTAATTCTATATCTCTAATAATTTTTCGACGATGGCCCTAATCTGCCATTTTAACTACTTCGTCATACGAAAAACTATAAACAAAGTGAATTCTATTTTGTAAAAAATTAAATATCCAACTTGTAACACAACATACACTGTCGTTTACTCGAAAACTTGGTAAATAATCGAATAGGTTAATTTTTATAATCATTATTAATTAATTATAGTTTCCGTTAGAGGCGCCATTGTGGAACGTATGGAAACGGAAGGTGACGTTGATTGTTTTCGAAAGCTATCCAAGCTCAAGTCAAAAATCATCTTCGATGAGATAGTTGACCACGAAAATTGATAAATGAATCTTTTTAGGTTGAATCATTGAATGGCTGAGTAAAAATTATACCATCTCAACCTCATCGGGGATTGTTATATTCAGAACTTAAATTTCATAGGCAAAATAACACATACTGTATGTATTTTTACATTTTTAAGCCATGGCTTTTTATATTATTTATTTAATAGCTGAATAGACACTTAAGTGCATATTCAATTAAATTAATGGTTATTTTTAAATTTGCGTTTTATTTTCTATTAAATAAATAGTTGTAACAAATATCGAAAATAGGTATGAAGACTAATGTTTTTTGTCTGTCTGTCAGGTTATTTTGCGTAATAAATGAATTACGGCGAAACCATAAGTTGAAACGCGTGATGTTCCAACTTTCAACATATTCTCCATAGTTGTGACGTAGCGAGCCCCACTCCTTAACTTTATTGCCTATTATTTAAGCAATTTCTTGTTAAATTGAAGTAAAAAAACTATCTTATCTTTTCACTTCACTAACGTTAACAGGTAATTATCACAATTTTAAAACATATCATAAAACATTTACATAATGTGAGCGAGTTAGATGTGGACACGAACAGCATAGATTAAATTTGACACTATCGAAAATAAGCTGCATTTTGTTTGGTCATCCTGATAGATAATAATCTAATAAAGCTTATTTCTTAACATCCGCAGAAAAAAACATGTTTAGATTTAGAAAAATAACGTAAAGAAAATGCCATATTTTTAGGAATTTATTCAACGACGAAAACGTCCTATAATTGGTCGTCGTCTCAACCAATCACGATTTTGTTTACTAGCCTGTGACGTCATCAGCTGTCATGTCAAAGTAGTGATAGAAAGCTACATAAAATATCGATGCCTGTAGGTATCGAGTACTTTATAGTAATTTACTGATAACAGAATACTTTTCCGCTTCTGCTGATAAGAACTGCCAAAAAGAAATACAGAAAAAAAGAATCATTTACTAAGATTTTTTAAAAATCCAAGAAATAGGGAAAACGCCTTGAAAATAATTCAAAATTAAAAAGTAGATTTTGATGATATATACTGTTCTCCAAGTTAAAAACTAATAAAAAATATCATCGGGATCTGATGTCTTATTATCAAGTGCCATGCATTTAGTGGGCTAACATACTACATGCATGTATAAAAAAATAGTACATTCTTTTTTGTACTAATGTCTCATCCATTTGTAGGTCGACTGGCTGTAAAATGCGAGCCTTGTCAACAAATATAAATGATTCATAAAATGTTTATGATATAGAAAAAAAAAACAAAAAGAAAACATTCAAATGTATCGATATGAAATAAAAAAGTTTCAATAGTTTTAGCGAATCCTTACCTAATTTTATCACCCATCTCTACTCTATATAGCTACTAATCTATTGTGATTGTGAATCTATTTTTTCTTCTAGACTCGAAGTTTGTTTGTTATTTATAGAAGTATTAGTACATTGTGGCACTACGCACCACTTAAGACAGTTGTGAATTATCGATTTGACATATTTACTGGCCTGTGACGTCACGATCAGCGCCATTACATAGAGCAGCGTTTTTCGCGCGATTTTAGCTAGTTAAATTTTAACAATTATTTTCACCAAAAATAGAAAAGATTCCTATGAAATATAACGACAGTGTGCTTATAATGTAGCAAACAACGATTTAAAGTAGTTTTCGGAAAAGTGTCAAATACACATCTGGAAGCTTCAGACCCAACTATCGCTGACGGCTTCTGCCTCGGCATAAAAGCGGGTTCTGAAATTGCACGAATCGAATTTTGTTCTCATAATTTAGGTTTGATTTTATTCTTCATAAATATAGAGATAACGAGAGGCGCGATATAGACCGCGACCGTAGAGAGCGCAACTTCCGTCGGTCGCCGTCGCGCAGTTCCCGGCGGTCGCCGCGCCGGTCCCGGTCCCGGTCCCGCGCGCGCGACTCCCGCGAGTCCCGCGAGTCCCGCGCCCGCAGTCCCGCGCGCGCGCACAGTCCGCCGCCCGATCCCAAGAAACCTGATATCAAGAAGATGCCCTTCATAGGTATGTGCTTGTCATATTTTCCGCGAAAATTGTAAATCTATTTCGAATGACGAATAAATACTGAAATGTTTAGACCGATAACTAACTGCCGTGGATTCGCTAATTACTAAACTTATAATACAAAAGAAATGGTACCACTCACACTTGAATGAAATGCAAATCGCTTCTCTAGAATTAATTTCCTTTTGGAATTGTAGAATGAATTGTCACCATTACTCCCACTGATCGTTATAAATTGGTAGTAATGATAAATTCTTAAAAATATTTTATTTTAGGTAAAATGCCGGTGTATAAGCATTTGGGAAAGAAACAAGAGGACCAAAAAAAGGAAGAACAGGATCAGAAGAAAAAAGACGAAGACGAAGCCACTAAGAAAAGACGCGAGGAAATGGACGCGGAAATACAGAAAAAGGTATGTATATTGTTATTTCATGATATATTAATACGGTGACATAGGCTTAAATATACGTAGACGAAGTCTCGGGAATACAGCTATTAAATAATAATTAGTATCATTACACCGGTCAATAGAATTGCTACTTTTTTATCACATATCAAAAGACAGTTAAGACTTAGGGTTCGGGATAAAAAATTAACGCTTATTTAATTCATAGTCAGACTTTATTTAACACAGTAAAATTACAAAATATAATACAACAACAATGTACGTACACACTTCGATTTCACGTCACTAATAACACTTGTATTCGCTCTCATATCTGATTTACGGATCATCGAAAGATTGCCGCGACGGGTAGTTCACTGCGTATTTATAGATGCCGATAACACATCTAGAATGTTCTAGGTTAAGATCTAGAACATTCTAGGTTAGCCTCGGCTCACCCGGTGTATTCGAGGCATTACAAAAAAGTTTTAGAACGGCCCGTCCCTTTCTTCCCCAGTGACCGCCCCTTTCTCACTGGCGTATAACTATATGAGATGTTTGAGTTTTATATAAACTCGTTTGATAGTGAACTCGTTAAAAATTTATAAGGAAATTTTCGATAATTGGCTGGAAACGTGCAGTAATAAAGAAACTATTGAAAAACGTTAGGTTTTCGCAACAGACTAAATTTATTTTTTGAATCCACAGAGCCAATAGACAATCCATAAATAACAGTTTTAAGACTTGATACACATACCAACACCCTCACTTATCAAAATAAACTAAATATATTAAAGAATATTACTTACAAACACAAACCTTTCGTTAACATGTCGGCAGGCATATCCTGACTAGATATTTAATTTTAACAATATTCTTAACAACGTCACGCATATAATGACAACGTACATCTATGTTGCGATCTGTTATGTATACTGACTTTAGCTAACCGTAATGCGCTTTGGTTATCACAATTTAAATCTATTACATAAAATGTTTGTGCATTAAATTTTTTAAGTACACTGCTTCTCTCGAAGCTTCAGACAAAGCGGTGTACTCTGCCTCAGTGCTTGATAGCGATTACAGACTCATCGTCATTCTGTCGCCCTTTTAACTTTGAGACATTAGCGATATAGTTCGTACCCACAGAACACAGAAAGACGTTAGAAGGACCGTGTGTAGCCACGATCCTGGACTAATGTTCATGATCGTGACCACCACACGATCGCGACGTTTAGTCATTCACGAACGCGCGTGCTGTAAGTACTGTGAAACACGCCACTAAACGTGTTTAAACTGCCGTCTTGCGTGGTTATTATTTGCAAAACAAGAAGTCAATCCGAAGGAGGGATTTCTTTTCATTAGTAAGTAGAACACTTCTCAAATTTAGTATTTTTAGTCGAAATTCGTGAATGTTATCAAAGTGTGAATCACAAAATATATTTCCAAGAAAATATATAACGGCGGGTAGTCAGAAGGGCCTATTACTAAGCTCAAATAGATCGTCCATATTGGAGGACTATCTTTCAAATAACACTGCAGGCGTGATGTCGTCGGATGTCTTTACTCCTCGGTAATCGGAAACAGAATGTGCCCTAAAAATGACGGCAATTTGCTTTTGTGAACGAACTGTCAAAGTCAGTGTCACCATTCTAATAAAATTAGAAGTATCGATGATCACGCTCCCTCTACAATCGAGTAATTAAGTAATCGAGTAACTAGCAATTAAAATAAAATAAACTAAATCAAATTATCTTTGTAAAGATGATGCGACATATACATTGCTAGAGAAGTACGCATATTTATTACATTGCATCGTACTAAGCACGTAATGTAAAGGTAATCGCGAAATCATCGTTCTAAATAATAACAATAGATTACGGTAGATCGCTAGTAAAGTGCCATGGGAACATTTAATCGATTCTTTGTGTTAGTCAATAAAAACTAAATAAAAGTAAGGACAACAAAAATAGTGGTAATAAAAGACAAAAATCGGAGATTAACAAAAGCAATAAATAAAATGTAACCCTATTACAGACTACCATATTGACTTCGTTTGGTATGCATTTGTATATTAATTTAATAATGAGCGTGGAGTAGCGAAAGAATCTGTTTTTATGTTCCTAATATTGTAACAGAAAATTAACAACAATACTTTTTAAATTGTCGGAATCCGTTCAGGGTGAGTTCCAATAGCATTTGAATATTTTGTGCGCCATAGTGTCTTATAGTTTAGTTGCGGCGACACAAGATTTACGACTACTGCGCAACCAACAACTGGATATATGTAACTCCGTGAAATGGATATCAGGAAATTCTCGGAAAAAGGTAAGTGAGTAAAAAAAAAACACTCACCATATGTACCTAATATGTTATTTGATTTTCAACACACTTGCTCATAAAGTGGTTGTAATTTCACTGCAATTAGACTAATAATGACACCTATAATCATACTGTGACTTTTTCATTGCTATTATTCACAAGAGAGTTATAGGTTTTTTTTTTTAATTTTATCTACTAAATATAATGATTTTTTTATTATTATTTTATTCTCAAGTGTATTGAAAAACTTCGTATGATATGATACAAGTGAGTATTGATGATTACCGCCCTCGCCTGCGGCTCTCTTAAGACCTCCTCAATAGCGCCTCAGCGGTAATCACCAACGTAACTCACTTATACCATAATGTACTTTTATTTAAGGGGGCTCTCTTGTAATGTAAGTCCTTTAGCATATTACTTCCAATATTTAAATTTATTAATTACAAGACGTGGTTTTGTTATAATTGTAAGAGTAATTTTGTGTATCTATTTTAGGAACAACACGCAAAAAAAGAAAATAAGGTCGGGAAAGTAGCAGTGGAAGCGACGAAAATGACAACCATGATAAAACTACTCGTGTAATGCCAAGATCATTGCATGCTAACATTGGACAAGCGTCACATTCTCCAGCAGAACCTGTAAATATATCTGTTGCCGACTATTCTTCTACATCAACATCCCAACAAACTTTTTTTTTTTGTACACACATACAATTTTAAATGAACAAATGTAACAGACATTAGTACAAGAGCACTGCTTATTTCAAATTGAAATTTCTACCAGCAGGCCCACAACAGGATAAATAAATACAATAAGGTAGTCAGTGTGTACCAATAAAATGAATATGGAATATATAAACAAATACAATAACCGGGAAAGAGAGAAAATAAAAATACATAATTGTGCAAACATTATATTCATAATAATATATCTATATATATATAATATATAAAGATTAACAATACCTAAACTCTCCAATATCAACAACAGGAAAGATAATGATCCTTTTCTCTTTTTTTTTGAACACAGAAATAGTGTGATTGTCACGTATATCGACAGGTAGAGAGTTCCAGAGTCTAGCAGCATGAACAGTGAAGGAATATGAAGCAAAATCTGTTTTGTGTGAAGGAGTTTGAAGAATGGACTTAAGATGGGATCTGCAAAGAGCATCACGAGAACGGAGAAAGGAGAAACGCTCACGCAGATGGGAAGGATAGACGAGATTATAAAGGGTGTCTTATGTTCAAGACAGACAATCCTGACATTTCTACGCTGACGAATGGGAAGTGAGCAACATGAGCTGCTTACGGAAATGTGACACATGATCATACTAACGAAGACCATAAATAAATCTAATCGCTAGATTTTGAAGTCGTTCGAGCTTGTTTAATAACTCCTCAGTGGCATCCAAGTAACATGCATCTGCATAGTCAAGAAGAGGTATAATTAAGGACTATGCCAGTAACACTTTAGTTTTAAAAGGTAAAAAGTTTTGTAGGTATTTAAGTGTGTGAAATGAGAAAAAGGTCTTACGACTAACCTTAGATACATGGGCAGTCCATGCTAGATTTGAATCTATTGTAATACCAAGATTTTTTACGGTATCTGTTAACTGGATTTGAGTCCCATCCAAATGCACTGCTGGTAAAGATAATGTAGAAATAGAATTAACATTAAACTACTGTCTAACACAATGGCCTGAGATTTACTCGGGTTAAGCGTGAGGCCAAACGATTTCGCCCAAGTACTAAGGTATCCAAATCGTTATCAATAGCTATCAGTGCCGAGTAACAGTCTTCTATTTTAAAGTGTCGATAAAGCTGCAAGTCGTCTGCATAGAGGTGGAAGTTGGAAGATATAACTTCAGTAACAGAGTTAATGAAAATGGAAAATAAGAGAGGTGAGAGAACAGCACCCTGAGGAACACCCGCACCGAGGTCGCACCAAACAGAAGATTTATTATCAGGCGCACACGTTGCGTGCGTCTCCGTAGGTAGGAATATAACCATGAAAGAACAGAAGGAGAGATATTGCAAGAACGAAGAATAGCGAGAAAAATATCAAAATCGACAGAATTAAAAGCACTTCTGAAGTCCAGTGTTTATTGTAGCACTACAAATAATAAAATATTCAACAGTTTTAGAACCAGTAGTTAACGCACTGCAAGCTAAATCGATCGACATGATTTCGGTGGGGGAACACATCAAAAATATCAAGGACATTCTCAGAAATGACCGCGAGTTTCCTGAAAGAATAGATAATGAAATACTACAAAAAGCGCGAGCTATTGCAATAGATTTGAACATAGAAATTTCGGTTCCACGTCTTGCTTACAATCAAACACATAGAAGTAATCCGCCATCAGACAATGATAACGAATATTGGTGGCGTTCCCTGATAATACCATACATTGATTCACTCATGTCATCGTTGAATATTCGATTCTCCCAAGAAAATACTACGGCGTTTGCTTTAATTAAGCTACATCCTTTGTACATGACCAAAACCAGCGTTACAGACTTACACAAATTTTTGGAATGCTGAATCATTCCAAAAATTTTATAACCTGGATATCACCGGAGAACTGAACCTTTGGCATAATTTATGGGTGAAGAAGGCTTTATCAGATGATCAATTAAGGGACATGGAAGTAGTTGATCTGTTCAGTGAAGCCAACATTTTTCACCCTGCTGTCAGAAAGGCATTGAATATTTTAAGCACTATCCCATACACCACGGCGACCGTAGAACGATCCTTCAGTACGCTGCGAAGAGTTAAAACGTGGCTTAGAAGCACCATGGGTGAAGAAAGGCTTACGGGTTTATGTATGATGAGCGTACATCGCAATTATTTAAAGGAAAACAGTGAGTTTATTGATAAGATTGTCATAGACAAATTTTCGGCAAATCCGAGATTACTGTTAAATTAATATTTATATGAATATATCTATATATCGAGACGTTGAACGCCAAATTCTTCGCCATCAACGAGTTGCTGGTTACTGTCGAGACCAGGGTAGGTGAACAATTGACATTTAATACCCCTGTCATCAAGGTAATACCACATAAGCCCCTTTAGTGAGGCAATACCATTCAGAGAGCCACCTAAGCCTCCTTAGCGAGACAATACCTCAAAGACAACCTTACCATAGGAAATAAAAATTCAACCCTTCTTAATCATATAATTAGCTTATGCTATAACTTAAATTATCTTAACATTATAGGAATAAATACACCCAGAGGTTGCATCATTAATATTACATATATTTAACTAAACCTACTTATTCTATTAATTATTTTACTTAAGATCATCTAATACGAAACGGACGAGACGCGCGTCCGTAACAGGGTGAAGCATTAACTCTGGTGAAGCACCTACCGGTCGACGCGGCTAACTATGAGGTAGCCCTTGGTCTTCTGAGGGACCGCTACCAAAATACAAGGTTATTGGCTGACACCTATCTGGTTCTGGTCGGCAAGGTAGGTGTCACTGCCTACGGTGCCGACATCGTTAGAGGGTTTGCGGCAGACCTTCTATAATCCGTTGCTGGAATCGACCCAGGCGTTGAAGAAACTGGGACTCCCTGTGGGAGAATGGTATTCGTTGCGGGTGCGGTGGACTCGTTCTCGGTACCTTACTGGAGTAACTCGTCCGCTCCGTCGTGCCGCTCGAAGAGGTGCGGGTTCGTGCTTGTTAGGTAGAGGTAGTGCCTCCTCTACGTTGACGACTTAGGGTGCCTCGCTCCTGGGATTCGTCTAATAAAACGAGGCTTCTCGTATTCTATACATGTTTAATTTTCCCCTAATTATTATTACGTGTACATATGGCGTCTCACCGATTATTATGTATTGCATTTGTAAGTAATATTACACTCAATAGTTACATCAGATCATCTATATCACTTGTTATATTAAGTATGGCGCGCGACGCGATATATCGTAATTGTTACTACCTAATGCGGCTGCAACGCCGTACGTCACCGTGCTCTAAGACGGCTTGGGTGAGACTGCAAAAATATACTGAGAGCGCCCGCGTCGTATGGGCATGTGCCCGTTTCGCATGAACAGTATTACTTTTTATTGTTTTTCGTCATGCAGAACCTGCTTGGGAGACTCAGGAATGAGTTCGAGGAGCTATGCGTGGCAACCGCCGGGGAACTGCCAACCGTCTCGTCGCTGATGGGGTTGCTCGACGAGATTTGCCGACGTCAGCTTATTGCATCACCGGGTCCCAAACAGGATGAGACCATGTCGACGCGACAACGGAAGTCGCCAACTGCGCCGCGCAAGGTGACTCCATTTGGGGGCCGACGATCACCGCCCTCGAACGGGGCTCACGGCCATATAACCGCCGCAGCGGGCGGGGTATGGTGCACTTACTGCACTGTGTTGGGGCACGTAATAACCGGATGCTACGGCTTTAAGCGACTCGTAGTGTCTGCGAGGAAAACGTGGGTGCGCCACAACAGAGTCTGCTTTCTTTGTCTGGGAGAACACTTCGCACGGGAATGCACCCAGGGTGTCAAATGTGGACGCTGCTACGGTCACCATCACACTCTCCTGTGCGCAGAGAGGCCAGTCTGAAAGATATTCCTACCATGATAATTCTACATGTTAGATACTACATCTTAATGTAAGTCCTTTTATAATAACCACTGTAAAATTTAGTCTTAGTTCATTTTATTAATAATTATATTGTATTTGTTCGCCAAGACAATTCTAAGAAATAAGTGGATTTATGTACTTACAGAAAAATCTAAAATCACTTTCGATTGTTATAAAATTGGAAGAAAATGCATATGGCACAGGCATTCTAAACTCACCTACAGATTGTATTGGTTATTATAAGAATATCAGAATAATACCTATATTTACAAAAACTATTGAACTTCAAGAAGTTAATTTAAACTATGATTTAATTAACAATAAAACATTTAATATCGTTATTCTTAAATATAAACAAAAGATTCTCTCATATCTGAACATACTAAAGCTACTACTGAAATTGTTAAAAATCTCGATAGTATAATCGATAAACCCCATATAGTTCTCTATGGCGAATATTATTCTTACACTACCATTTTTATGAGTATTGTAATCTTAATAATCATATGCACAATGATGAACAAATATTGTAATTTGGGAAAGTGTTATGGATTGTTTAATAAAACTTTAGAAATTAACACTGAAAATGAAAATGTACCCGAGATGTATGACATAGAACTACATCATATTGATGTGCCAAAAACTAATTGCTCTTATGCCTAAACTTCACTCTTAATTAGGGTGAAGTTTCGTTTCAGCCCCAGGGTTGATATATACAGGGTTGCCCCAGGGATATTATGAATATAAAAATGACGATTGTGATAATAAGCAATCTTCCATTGCATTGGCATTTTTAAACTTATGTATTTGTTCGAGCGGTTCTCCCGCGGCCACGATCCGAGACACTCGCCCACGTTTAAAATTCATATTCGTGGATTAAATATATATATATATATATATATTTTAAAGTGACATTTCGTTTTCCTTATAACAGAATGCATACACGGTCGGTTGTGGTTTTAGAAACTGTCTCAACCCCACCGTGACATTAGGTATAAGAAATATAAATGGCGGCTTCGAGGAGGCCCGCGCACTCTTAGATACTGGAGCAAGTGTCTCGGCCATCAGAGAAGCTCTCGTGAATCGGCTTCGCTTACACCGACAGACGAGCTCTATGGAAATAATCCGGATAGGAAATAATACGGTGAAGACACCGTCCAGTAAGGTTAATATAGTTATTAGACCAACAGATAAACGAGTCATGCAGGACTATTGCGACTTGCTCTCGGTACCTTACTGGAGTAAGGCGAAATATATTACGATTATTATATATATAATATTTTGATTTGTGTCATAATCAAACTTATTAATAAAAGTCAATTTTCATGATTTTTTGTTTCAATATACTCGACCGACCATCTTTTCGAAACAGGTATGAGCTCCCCCCCCCCCCCTAGCTGAAATCCTGGGTACGCCCTTGGTTGGAACTCATACTCCTGAGTAGTTAAAGTAATGTGCAGAAGTTCAACAACAGGCCTATATACACACATCAACATCGTCTAGGGACATTTTAATTATTCTTAAATTTCTCAGTTTTTTTTTCTAAATAACATACATGTTTATATTTTTATACAGCCCATTTATTAACGTAGATTATAGAATAAAACATATATATATTTTTTTGTAGCTAAAAATTAATTATTTAAGTAAAGATGAAAAGTAGAATAATGGTAAAAATAACGATAAAAGTGAAAATATTGCGAAATTATTCCGTTATTTGCAATTTTGCGAAAATAAATGGTCAGTAAAACCACCCATGACGTTAACAATGGTCCTGCAACGTTTTTAAATGCTTCGAATCAACTTATCAAAGTCTTGCTGCGGGATATTGTCCCAGGTCCTGGAAAGATGCAAAAAAAGTTGCTATTCAGTGACAATGTCTGTAGGTAAATTCCTCAAAGCCCTTCTTTGGTGCATGTCCCACGCGTGATCTATGGGGTTTAGTCTGGTGATTGCGCGGCCCAGTCTATGACCGATACATCGTGCTTTTGCAGCCAGCTGGTGACCACGCGCGCTGTGTGGGGACGAGCATTGTCGTGCATGAGCGTGAATTCTTGACCCATTTGTAGTCGATGTGGGTAGACGGCTATTGGTACTAGCATTTGGTTGAGGTATTTTTCAGCGGTCATGGTGTTTCTGATCGAAACGAGGTCTGTTCTTCCATCAACACGCTTTTTTTTTAAATATGGACTTGTTCCGTTATACATGGAAATTTTGCCAACATCCCGTAGTGAGAGAGACTCGAGACTCGAGAGACTGAAAGGTAGTTATAATTAACCAATTATTCCCGCCCAAACCATAATCATCTCGCCATGGTATTGATGGACTTCCTGAGGGTGTTGCAGACGATTCTCACGACCAGGAGTTCGCCATACGCGTACTCTTCGCGAATCAGGATGAAAACCGAATCGGGACTTATCGGTAAACAGCCCTACACACCACTTCCAGAGCAACCTACCTTCCCAGAGCAACTGTTCACGAGCCCAATGTAATCTTCTTCCACGATTTCCTCGGCGTAGTGCAGGAGCACGAAGCGGTCTACGAGTACGAAGATTAGCTTCATGCAGTCTTCTCCTCACAGTTTGGTCACTCACGAGCAACTGATGCTCTGACTGGAGCCTTTGAACCAACTGCATGGCCGTAACATTTGGTTGCCTTCTCGCAGCACTTTGCAAAAATCGGTCTTGTCGTTGGGTGGTTATGCGCTTCCGGTCTAGGTGTCTTTTAGCCACTTCACCAGTAGCACGATAACGTGACCATAACCGTGATATCACGTTTTGTTTTGTTCCGATGTCCTCAGCAATACTCCGTTGAGTAGCCCAAGCTTGGAGCATGCTCGCTGCCCTTAACATTTCCTCTCTTGTTAAATGACGTCGCTGCATAATACATACAGTAGCACAAATTCAAATTAAACAGCTAACTTGTTTTAAAACTTTCGATTTACACAAAAATCTTCAAAAACTATGGTAAATTTTAAATGAAAACTTTGAACTTCGCTTGAATTATGCCGCGCAAATCATCAAAAAAGGCGTACAAGATAAGTTTTGATCAAAAGATTTTAAAAACAGCCAGTATTTTTTGAATTTAGAACTTTATACAAAATATCCCCAGACGATGATAATGTGTGTAGATGGTGTGAGAATAGAGCGGGTTGAAACGGCGAGAAGTCGGGCTCACACACCTTTTTTTCAGGTGGCGGAGTTTAAGGAGAAGATAGCGAAGGCGCAGCTGGAGCGCGCGTCGGCGGACGTGCCGCCGCCCGCGCTCGCGCTGCCCACGCGCCTCGCCGCGCCGCCGCCCACGCACCCGCCCCCGCCGTGAGTACTGTGCTTACTGGAATTATACGTACTTGCTCGCAACCGGGAAATGACGTTGAACAAATAGTGAAATGAAAACATTAATAAAAGAAAAAAATAATATTTAAAAGGAAGCTTTTTATGATTTTTTTTTGTTTTCATTGGTCCATCCTAAACAATTTTATTCAAATACGTATTATCACAATAATAAACACAACTTTCAAAGTCGGTAGCTTATAGGTTGTACATATAATTAGTCGTAATGGAACAATGCGAAGGCTATTAAATCCATGCATTGCGATCCATAAAATAATCATCAACTAGATTTTTTTATGGGTAGGTCAACTACATTTTGTGGAACTTTATTGAATATAGCAATGCATTTACCCAGTAATGATCCTCTGGTTTTCTGAAGTCTGGAGCGTGGAACGGCAAGTTTATTTTTATTTCTTGTGTTAAGATTATGAACACTAATGGTAAATATTTCTCTGAGAGATTCTCTAGAACGTAAATTATATATAGCGCGGACAGCTCTCTTTTGTAGAATAAAAATATCTTGAATGCTAGCTGCAGAACCCCACAACAATAGACCATACGTCATTACACTATGAAATTAACTAAAATATACCAATCTTGCCGTTTCAACATTTGTCAAGAGTCTAATTTTCTTAACATCAAATGCTGCAGAATTCAGTCTACTTTTATCAATATGAGGATCCCATTGCAGTCGGGAATCTAGTGTAATACCAAGGAACTTTGTCGATTCCACTAACTCAACTTTTTCACTATTTACATTTATAAGTGTACTAACATGCTTCACATTAGGTAATGCAAACTTTATGCATTTCGTTTTATTTGAATAAAGCTTTAAATTATTGTTATCAAACATTGTCGAGAGCATCATTACCCCTCTTAACTTTAAACACGAAAGGGGTGTCATCAGCAAATAATACTGTCTCGCACAAATTCTTCGTAAACTGAGGAAGGTTATTAATGTAAACTAGAAAAAGCAATGGTCCTAATGCCGATCCCTGAGGTACGCCCATAGTAATGGGTGCCCCTGCAGATTTCGCTTCATTAATTATTACTTTTTGAATTCTTTAAACTGAAAATTCGGGTGAATCGCCCGAACGTTGAATTATAAAAGAAATATTTTTACAAATGTTTACGTTTATAAAACGATGTAAATTAGTTCTAATTATTATATTTGCATTCACAACGCTAAACTGAATATATTCTTAATATATGAATATATATACTGAAAAATATTCTTAAAAACTCCCTGGCAGTCTGTAAAGTAAAGTAATTGTTATCCGTTGCGCCACCAAGCTACGTATTGATATTGCCTGGAAAATGATAATTTGTGAGATGATAAATAAAAAATAAGTTTCCAAGATTTTGGATACTCATATGTAAGTTGACCGTAAATAAGTTTTTTTTTTTCTTCATATATTTTCAATATAATTTTTTTAACTTTCGCGTTGCATTATATAAAAATTATTATATGAAACGGGTAATAACGCGATATAATTGATAGTTTGGTTTTTCACTTTCCTATATTTCCCGTCGTTTCGACCGGGTTACACCCTCCGTGGTCCCGTGACCATTTATCTAATATATCTCTAATGTACAGACACCGATCAGTTAACTTTTTTTTTATAGTATAGATGATTCGTAAAAATAAGTTTATTATGCCGCTAGTGGGGGAAGTAAACAATTTTAATTATCTTATAACAATTTAGCAGCGTGGCGACGAGCGTGGCGGCGGGCGTGGCGGGCATGGCGGGCGGGGGCGGCCTGCCGCAGGACCTGCAGGAGGCGCTGGACATCATCTTCCCGTCCGACGTGAAGCTCAAGCCCGAGCTGCAGCAGCCCGACCTGTTCCTGCCGCCCTTCCCCATGCCGCTCGGGTTCCCGCCGCTCGGCCTCATGCAGCCCCAGGTCGCGCCACATGCCACGTTAACTATAACCTTTTAGCTGAGTAGAAGAATCTTGTGACGCTCCTGTCCCCGGGTGTAGCGTTGTATACGTTGGTTTATTTTTAACTAGCAATCCGCTAGCGGCTTCGCCCGCGTGGTGTTGTATTATACACAAAAACCTTCCTTTTGAATCAATAAAAAAAACCGCATCAAAATCCGTTTTTAAGCATACATAGGTATATTGGGACAGAGAACGCGACTATATTTTATACTATGTAGTGATAGTGAAGAACTAAATTCGAACAATGTAACGTTGCGGATTCATGGCGATCAATTCTAATTACAATTTGTAATTCTATATCAGTTTAACAGAAAAAAAATTGATTGAATATTCTTTCGAAACACCAAATCGTTTGCACTGTTGTCGACGACCAATGACGTACAATATTGACGTACCCCACAAATGCGGTAACGTGACATTTCCCTTGTGTCCAGATGCCGCCCGGCATGTTCGGTTTCGACATGAACGCGCCGCTGTTCCAGCCGCAGCTGTACGACACGCACGTGCCGCTCGTGCCCGGCAACAAGCCCCGCCCGCAGCAGAACAAACGACCCAACAACGCCCCCGCCAACAATCAGAAGGGCGACAAACGATTGCAAACGCAGAAACAGCAGAACGCACAAACGCAACACAACCCGGCCCCCGCTCAATCTCAATCGCAGCCGGAGACGAAGGAAAACGGAACCGTGGCCAGGAAGAAGGAGGAGTTGGACGAGTTGGCGATGTTGGGCATCGACGCGTCCGACGTGGGCGCGGGCATGTGAGGGAGGGGGAATACCGGGACGTGAAGCCACCGTGCCTGTGATAATTCTAGTGCGTGCGACTCTGTCACGACCCTGAACATATGGATTCTGTGGTTAATAAAAGTTGTAAATTAAAATTTGTTTTGTAATTCCAAGAGAGTAATTTGACTAAACATACCAAGTGTTTTGGTAGAATTACTTTTAAATCTTAAATTTATATTGACAATGAAATGTAATCGTTACACATATTTTTTAAGTATTCAACAGTGAAACTGAGGTCATTGAAAATCAACTTTTAATATTGATCTGTACATTTGTTTCTGACCTAACAACAGTTAATTTACCTTGAAAATCAAAAAGATTAAACTACTTCTATACTACTCTAAGAAAACTAAATGTAGCGCTATCCATAGAACTCGAAATCGTTTCCGCGAAATGCTGTGTTCCTTTGTATGGAACACTATTCTTATTTTACAGACAAAACATTTTCAAGATGTTAAATATTGAGCAGTCACTATGGCACCTGTTGGCATCGTGTTGGGGAAACGCGGCCTAACTATGCATTTGAAGCTCTAATGTTATATCGAGTTTCGGGTAAAATCATACCATTTTCTGGTAAACTTAATTTACAATGAGTGCGTTTGTATATAACTTGACGATATACGCCAAATAAAAGGCTCGTGGTTTAGCTCGAGAAAGGCCACATTGACACGGTTTTATTTAAAATAAAGATATAAACACAATTTTTGTTTCTTTAATCTTTGTTGTATCCGCTTTCGATGGAACTAAAAACCCAATATATATCTACTAAATAAAGTTTGACATTAAATTTTTTTTTTTTTTATACCTAAATGAAGAAGAATAACAACGCCTTCTTTTATGATACTATAAGGCGACTCGCGCGCAGGTTATGTAGACGTATAGAACCTAGATAGATAAAGGCATCTATCAATAACAGATAATCATGTTACTATTGTAACACTGCTGTGACTAGGGTTCATGTATGTTGGACATGTGGAGCCATCTTTATATTATAAGATGATATTTGAAATTGTCAAAGTGATTTTATGTTCGTCAATCGGTTATATCTCTTGACTAGATTTATCTGTATTTTTACAAAGGGTATTAAATATCGTTAATAAAGATCTTGCATTGCTTTTATTTTTTTAATCACGTCCCGACCCATTTATCGAATGCGTTTGTCTTTTTCAGTTTATTTCACATTATGACAGTAAGGCCACTTAAGCATTGATTAATCTCTGAATCAATGATAGATCGAGACAATATTATCAGTACAAAAACGATCCAAAGAATATCAATGTTACATAATGAAACATGTAGGTACACATATGTGCAATTACTATAATCTGTATCTATATTAATATTATAAACAGGAAAGATGTGATTGTTTGTTTGTTTCTTGTATGCATTGAATAGGCTCTGAAACAGCTGAACTTATTTTTTTTTAATTACGTTAAGCTACATCATACGCAAGTGACATATTTACATGACTGAAATCGCCGGTAGAATTTAAATCAAATATTATTTTATATTAATTTCCAATATCTATTTTACGAATACACCGCATCATGACGGATAATTATTTTCACTTTGTGAATGCAAAATTTATTTAATTTGAGATAAAGTGTGTATTGTAGCTATAATACATGTAGCTATTTATGTTATCTGCCGCACGTAATTGTAATCTTGGCACTACTTTTTATGTTATTGCAAACCCAGCCCGAACCGGTTAGCTTATAAACAGAATGGATAACTAGTTGTTATATTCATACAAGTATATCGACTAGTATGTCAATGTCGCATTCAACTAGGTAAATCAGTCATTCAATTGGACGGCTAGCCGTTTAGTTGAATGGTGCCATTAAATTGCACGCCTAGTTTTCTTACTGAACCATGACATTTGGACCGTTTAACAAAAGTCGCCAGAACGTTTATTTAGTTTTGTTATTTGTTAAATAAATACCTTATTTTTTGTTGTTATTAACTATTACTATTATTAACTGATATTTAGTATTATAGAACTAAACTTCGAAATCGTACTAAAACAATCTCAGTCAAATACATTGCTTACACTCATTTTCGATAGATTGCGCTGTGGTCGTCTGAATCGTGGTATATCTTGTCTTTCTATAATTGTATTAGTATTAAGAATTTACTATGGAAGTTTCCCAAACCTCCCACAACCCATCTGGACTTCCTCACGAGACACAGTAAGCCAATTCCGTTCCCATCACCTCCGACCCTTCAGGTCAACCCTCTATCAGCCCCCTCGTTCTGCCATCCCCACAGGATGCAGGCAATACAAATTGTTACGGGCATCAAATAGCACCCTTCTGATGGTATGCGATGCTCCCCTATCCGCCCACCATACCTCGACCTTTCAGGTCAAACCCCCGTCCCTTGAGGTCAAACCCCAGTCCAATCTGGCTGATCGTTTCCCTTCAGGGAGACAGATGTATTTCAATCCAATGACGGGGGATGACCGGGGTTAACGATTAACATTTCGATGTCACAATTCATGTAGGTGAATAGTTGGCTGATCTTTGTTCAGCCGTATTGTAGAAAGAAGCGTTCAGCTACTCGGTAGATCGAAGATCTATCTATCGACAGTTGATTAAACGACTTGACTACGTCATCAATAAAGGATGAGGTCGTTGTCGTTGTGGCGACTGATTCAGTTTATCAAGATAAGCAACTTTTGCAAAGGCCGGTCATAGATTACAAAAAATATTATTTTGAGCACCTCAGTAGTTAAGGATCTGCAATTATAAATACCCACCAACACGCACTGGGCCCGCGTGATGGTATGATCCATTCTCCCCCTATTCGATATCATTCATAATTGTCTCAGTAAATAGTTAAAATGTTTAACTTGATCAGCGAAGGAGCTTCCAATATGCTACTGTTCCACTCTATACGGTTCTCTATAGTCAGTACGGCAATGCTTTAAAATTTTGGATTATAAAATCATTTTTTGTTAATTTTATGAATTATAATGAAACAGAAGGGAAATATTAAGATATGTAGATTCACAGACTGTGACAGTAATGTCTGCGGCAATATAATAATTAGATTTTTGAAAAAAGAAATATAAATCTTATATAAAAAAAGATTAGGTATATAGAAAAATCTGTAACGTCATAAAACTGTCTGAATAAGTGAAAACGTGGCCCGTTGTTTTTGAAGCTATATCAAATCGACTGATAACGTCTCGTAAGTAAAATCAAGGGTTACGTCATTTTCCTCGATAATTATTGCTTTGATTTTATATACATAAGCTTAAAACTGGTATCGAGCCATCATTTATGTAGGCAAGTACCAATTGAGTAAAATTATCGGTGTGATATATTATTTTTTACAGTTTCTTAAGTCATTCAAGAATCATAACAATATTTATTGACTGGAATAGTTAATTAATAAAAATAATGTCTCAAGGAAAAAAATACGAAGTCCTATAAGTGAAAATATGCTCGGTCATGTAAACGGTTAAGATTTATCTAATATTTATCGCATATTATAAGAGTATCAATGTCTCAAAGAAAATTTTTCAAATATAATACTTATTTTTAAAAGCCAAAATATCCTTGGTTATGTAAAAATGTTAGATTTATCTAATAAATATTGATCATTTATTACAGTAACATTAAGTTAAGGACTGTCGTTTTACCGATTTCCACGTACTGAAAAGGAGATGTTAAAATAAATTTTACCGTATGTATAAAGCGAGTGTGCGACTTATCATGCCAGTTATAATGATGTGTTTCTCGCGAATCCATCAGTCTGTTAGCAGCAGCCGACCACAGTAACGTTTGTCAGCGTAAGTGGGCCTTTACATAACTATTATATCAAGATTTGTAATTGTGATTTGGACCGTAACATGTTTCGTTACGCGTTTGACTGATGTCATGCTGTACGTTTACATGTCTAAAACATTTTACAATTTATTAATCACTAAGATTCACTTTTGAATTATATTTTTTATACATATTTATCATATGATTGAAATAAATAACTTTCGACCAGTGACCTCCGGTAGCCTTGACATCGACATATCAGCACGTGTGTGCAAATTGAAATACCTACTCTGGAAAATTGCGGCGCCTTGAATTGAAAGTGAACAACACGCCTGGTTATACAAATCTCACAGTACCTATCTGTGATCGATTTTGGACTTTGATGTATTGAGTGAGAGTTCAAAATCCCACCTTGATCGATAGCCTAATGGCAGCAATTGAAGCAAAATATTTCAATAATAGTACCTAGGTACCTATTTGTATCACAACTATAGGTGCAGTCATACTAATCGTAGGTACTTACTGTTACAGTTAAATAAAAATGGCGGCCGATAAAGTGTTTCACCCCCGTTCGGAGGGTATACCCTCGGAAGGCGTGAACGACCAATACGCTGACGGCGTAGCCGCGAGGGTATGGAAGAAATTCATCGGTGACCTCAACCAGCGCACACAAAACTACAAGGACTTCCTCATTGGTCTGCTGAAGCAACATGGCTGTAAGAAGGTGCTGGACATCGCCTGCGGTACTGGGTCAGAATAAACTCTTAATATTTATAGTATAAGGCCCATTTTCCGATATTTTTATGACCTGTATGTATGGTGGCACTTTCCACACGCCTTCTTAACAATAGTTAGGTACTTAAAAGCAAAGACGGATAACAAATTCAAGAGACACTATTAGCAGATGGATTCTGTAGAAATCCGAAGCCGAATCACGGTATTTCACATAAACCACAAAATGTTATTACCAATTCAAGATTGAGTGGATGCCGTTTTTGAAGTAAATTTGGACACCTAAGTGAATTCCAAGTCGGCTTTGGATATTTACCTGAGACGAGTATATTCAATCAATTATTATCCAAAAAAAAAAAGGAATCAATAGAATTTCTACACTAAATGACGTGAGTTCAGACACATAAGCGAATTCGAATTCGGGTCTGGATTTTTTCAGGATCGCAAGTCTGGTTGTCCTCGAAAGCGATTCCGTGAAAACTTATATTAGTGTAGAAAATCTATTGATTCCATTATTTATATAAAAATAGAAAGTGTCATTTCGAAACTCATTTCACTTATGAATGACGCGAAACGTTAATAACAATTCAAACTTAATCGGATGTCGCTTTCGAAGTGAATTTCAGACACCTGAGTGAATTATAATTCGGGTTCGGATTTTTATATAGGATTTACACCCTACAGTTTTCACGTTTTCACTTCAGGAAATTAATGGTATATATATAGCATTGTTATATGAATAGATAAATTCTATATTATTGTTATTAGAAATTGTGTATTTCTTTGTGTATGTGTGTGCATTTTCAATCTAATAGGTGTGTGACACAGTAAAAAATAATTCAGCGTACGACTTAAAAATTACTGTTACATTTAAATACATACAATATAAATATTCAGTCGAATGGAGTCTTTAGCAATTGTTATAAATTATTCGCCTTTTATCGCTTTATAATATTTACACATGGGATCAAAACTAGCTGACGAAATATTTCATGTTCCTATAACATAGTTAAGTAGATATAAATATTACACAATACCTACATCACGTAAGCGATAGCGTCTTTACCTAATTGTAAACAAAAACACTGATAAATGTATTATTATTATCAACTGCATATAACTAACGATTCGAACGTCACAAACTTTGTAAGAAGTAGTTTATCTTTACATACACATTGCTCAGATTCCAAGATGAGTAACTAAAGCCCCCTTATTACAACATAAAACGAGGTACCACAACCCCCAGACCCAAGACAATATAGAAAAGTTCATTTTCTACATTGACCCGAACGGGAATCGAACGCGGAACCTCTGAGATGGCAACACTTTGAAACCTGCGTGCGAACCAGTCAGCTACGGAGGTCGTTAATCTTAATATTACAATGACAAACTTGACGAGGTGTGATGGTAAATATAAGAGATGCGCCGAATAGTGGTTTCACCGACTAACCGAATAGTGTTCGTTTCAAGCTTAATAGAACCGGATATTCGGCCGAATCATTATTTGATTGTTTTTTATTTAGCCAGAGTGTTAACCTGGTAGTATAGCGTGTGTTTAGCGAACGATTATTTCGGAAGCAAACAACCTATATGAAGAAATATGCAACTGACTCTTGCCGAAGAGGACAGAGGGCTTTATATTTCTGCACCATAATTTAAAACATTTATATATCTTTTATATTTTTATTGTGTCTCTCTGTAATAGTGTCTATTTTTGTCAATTACCTAGAACCTACACGAATTCGTATTAATTGACCTAAGGTTAGGAAAAAAACCCATCGAGGGTTCCGTACAAATACGCAGGTTACAAACAGTCCTGCAATCAGGGGCGGGCGCAAGTTCAAAATTCAATGTGGCCAGGGTATATTTTGCGAGGCCTTCCAATGGTTTTCCTTATCAAATAAAAGCTTGTTCATAAATAGTCGAAGAAAATCATTTTGCGCAGAATGCTAGTGCAATTTTTCTATTTATTAGCGAAAAAATGTCATTGTGGATATTTAGATTTTCTAAACTTTTTTGGATAATTACGGCTTTGAGGTGCGAGACCCATTGCACCGCGAGGCGCCAGATAGTGGCGGTATTGGCCACCTTATATCGTCTTTGATACCTTTAAATTGATACCTACCTCACTTAAACTATAATTTCAAATTTTAAAATAAAACCATGACGTAACTATCACCGTGACACGTTTATCATATCCATTTCCAGAGTGGACTCCATGATGCTGGTCGATGAAGGGTTCGAGGTGGTATCCGTGGACGCGTCTGACAAGATGTTGAAGTACGCGCTGAAAGCCCGTTGGGAGAAAAGGAAAAATCCCAAATACGACAATTGGAGTAAGTATAAAACTGTCTACTTTACAATGAAAGGAATCGTCTTTTTTTTAATTCAAAGAGAGTAATAGGTAAATTTTCTAATTTCATATTATTTAAATAAATTAATACTGAATAACGTGCAGAATAAATTAAACCCACTTATTGCTATATATGATAAGCTAGAATATTTTCAAGAAAAGTAAAATTTGAATTACCTATGTACGTATCCCATCTGTGAGCGTGTGTTGTGTCTCTCTCTGTGTGTGTGTGTTTTTTTTTGTTTGTGTATATGTGTTAATTTATCGATGTCGCAGCAAATTGGTATAAACAGCAGACCAATTAAATGGCGCTATCCAATCAGCTGAGTAGCTACACGCAACGTTCTACAATACGGCTGAACAAGGGTTAACCAACTAATTAACTGTCAATCCATCGGGAATATCGAAATTAATTGGTAGGATTTGAAGCAAAACAAATTAAATATTGTAGTGGATGATTCTGAATAAAACTCCAAAGATCCTTGTTACTATCTGTAACCTTTACAGATCTGTCTTGTACTGATCAAAAAGATAACAACAAACAGCTAATTCGCGACTGGGTGTTAATGGTCCGTCTGTATGATCCAATACAGGAAGGGAGTTAAGCTCAAACTTTTATTTTTTTTCTTTCTCGGCTCTCGACCTTAGGGGTTCGGAACTTTCCAACGGAGGAAGGAGGCGGTGAATCCTTCGTAGAATACTTCACAGCCGGCTGTGAGGTTATATCAAACTCATACTTACTGAACACCGCCTTGGACAGTTGGTTGCGTGCCCTAAAAGGGCCACGAACCTTCGACCAGAGCGACCCTGCAAGTGGGGGGCGGCGCAGACATCACATTTCATTTTCATGAATTGTGACATCGAGATTTTAGCCGTTAACCCCTTAGGTCTCGGCTCATCGGGTAAACGTTCATAATAAATTCTTAATACTAATAAAATTATACAAAGACAAGAGATACCGCGATCTATCGAAATGAGGGTACCTAAATAATGTATTTGACTGCGATTGTTTTAGTACGGTACGTTACGATTATTAAAGTTTGGTGGCACAATGGTTAATAACAACATAAAAAGGTAGAAATTTAGAAAATTTCGAGGTTATTTTTTTAACAGATTATAAAACTAAATTAACGTTTTGGCGGCTTTTGAATCGGCTCTAGAAAAATAGGTGTGCAATTGAATGGCGCCATTCAATTAAATTGCTAGCTACACAATTGAACGACAGTTTTAACCAGTTGGCTGCGACATCGATATAATAATAATAATAATAATTTTTTATTTGCCTTAAACATGGTATAAAGGTGTTAAAATTGTACAAAATCCTCATGTTTCGCCATTTTCAAAATGCATTCAAATCATTATAATGGAATCTAATGCAGTCACAATTATTACAATAAAATTATTTAATTCTTATTATGTTGAAATTACATGTCATGTTAAAAAAAAAGTCAATGTAATATTCTAATTCCTTTTGTTCAAAAATTCGCTAATACTATAAAAATTATTACAATTTAGCCAGGCATATAATTTTCTTTTAAACAATCCAGGCGTTAAAGACTTCAGTTCATGTGGAATTTTATTATATACTTTAACGCACAAGCCAAACAACTTCTCCCATACTTATCCGATTTTGGAATTACATTTAATATAAGTCTATCAGGGTCTCGACGTTGTCTAAATTTTTGAATGTCCTTAACTTTTTTGAATAAATGGTTGTATTTCCTTACAAAGGTACACACTTCCAGAATATATAATGATGATAGCGGTAATAAACCAAGTTGCTTAAATGACTCCCGACATGATTCATCAGGTGGAATTCCACAGATCGCCCTGATACATTTTTTTTGAGTTATGAAGGCTCTGTGATAGTCTGTGCCGTTACCCCATATTACAAGACCATAACTTAATATCGATTCCACGTAAGCCCGATAACATATAACAGCAGTTTTTTTATTTGTTACTTTTACAACTTGACCCAGTGCATAAGCAAATTTGTTTATCCTGTTACATGTTTTGTCGACATGTTGTTTCCAATTCAAATTGTCATCTATAGTAATACCTAAGAATTGTGTATGTGGTACTCGTTTGATTTTATTAATATTAAGTTTAAAATTATATTTAATATATGTTTTGATTTATTGAATTGAACAAAAACTGATTTCTTTAAATTTATTGTCAAATTGTTGTTTTCTAGCCATTCTATTACCTTGTCAACAGTATTATTTATGTCAAATTCATGATTCAGTATCGAATTATTATTTACTTTATTTGATGTCACTATTATTGAAATGTCGTCAGCATACAGAATGCACTTATGGTTTGTCACGTTAATGAAGTCATTAATATATAGTAATAAGGCCGGGCATATAGGCAAACTAGGCAACTGCGTAGGGCACTCATGTTTGGGTGGCGGTATGGCATGGCAAACCGATTACCGATTTGCTCTGATCGAACCTTAACCTTAAAAAAATATTTTTGTTTTATGAACAGGTCCGCGGTATTTAAACGTACAAAATTTTCAGACCAACGGTACCTGATTTTCTTTTGTCATTAGCACAATTTTGCTCTTTAATCGGTAGGTGTACATTAGTCTTTTATTTAGTTGTAATTTCTTTAAGGGCGTCATTCCGGGGTTTTGCCCAAGCCCAAGTTTTATTGATCCAGCGTTATATAAGTAATAATAATAATGACGTATGTAAATATGATCTGCCTACGCGTGTAGTAATAGAGGAAGCGAACTGGGAGACCCTCCCCCGGGACGTGGGTTCGTTCCTGCCGGGCGTGTTGTTCGACGCGGTGATCTGCCTCGGCAACTCGTTCGCTCACCTGCTGGACGAGCACGGCGACCAGCGCGTGCAGCGGCACTGCCTCAGCAACTTCGAGCAGTGCCTCAAGCCCGGCGGCCTGCTCTTCATCGACCACAGGAACTACGACCACATGATCGCTACCGGCAGCACACCCTCCAAATCCATTTATTACAACGTGAGTCATATGTACACGACGATTTGGTATGCTGACCTCCTCCATTGGTGGTGCCAGTTCTAAATGTAGGAAGCTAAATCCACCAATCCGTGCTTCAGGCCGGCGTCGGCGGCCCTTCACGAAAATTTCTTTTCAAGTAGTTTCCAGCCAATTTTCTAAGAATCGTAGATCCGGGGCGGGGCCTATGGGTGATTTCATCCCATTGTGATGATAATGATAGCTGCGCACGATAATTTTATTGAGCGGCTTCCAAAATATTATTAAGATTTAACATTAACATTACAAAAGAAATATGTTATCGAAAAAGATGGTGCCGCAAATATCCCGACTACGAGACAATTTAAAAATAACCCAATAACCATTATTCAACAATTCTGAAGTGAATTATTCAATCTCGAACTTGATAATCTACGTGATCAACTGGCTCGCATACACGCATGCCGGTATCCAGATGTCGCTCTTAGAACCCTGGTCCCATTCTCGGTTCAATAATGTATTTTTTTATTGGTACCATAACATAGGTGTTTTTAGGTACTGTGATGTTATTTAATTTAATTTGGTTGAAACACTAGTACCCGGTGAACTTCAAGACGTCAGTACTGGTGGTGAGTGGTAAGCCGGAGATGGTCACCTTGGACTACTGCATCGACGGCGACGAACATAATGAGAAGAGGTGAGCTACCATTCCTTACCCATTACTGATTGACCTCCAATTATAGCTGATGTGTGTGTGTGTGTGTGTGTTTGTATGTATTTGAGGAAATTGCTCATTGAAGTATGGATTTTGATTTCACATTTCTGTACAGTAAATAATTTTCTAGGGTTTCATTTTCTTATTTGTCGACAAATATTTCCTTAGCTACCCATAACAACAAAAATATTTTGAAAATAATATTGTTTCATCATAATAAACGAATAAGGAATGTTCCACCTGGTCATTTTTATGTTTCAGCGAGTTTCGCCTGTGCTACTATCCACATAGTCTGAAGAAGCTCACAAGCATGTTGGACGATGCGTTCGGTAATAGAAGTAAACATCACATCTACGGTGACTTCAAGCCGCTTAGCGAAGTCTCTGAGCCCGCATTCTACATTCACGTCTTGGAAAAAGCAAAGTGATGTTGCCTATGATCTACATACATACAATGCAAGAAACATGACACAATTTATTACCGCGTATACATGATACCGCAATAGTATTTCTTCGCATCTTGTTTTGTATGCGATATTTAGAATGTTTTTTTTACAATGTAAATTCTCTGTTACATTGAGGTTACAATAACGAGATCTGAATCCAGCCCTGCACCGCGAAATCATGGACATTCCCGACACTTTTATCGTAAAATAGTTATTTAAAAAAATTGTATAATTGCAATTTGTGATTTTAAAATATTCAAAAAAATTTACTGCATTTTCATTATGGATAAACTTACATGAGAATTTATATAATTATCCAATACTTTCACTTTGTTATTCTATATAGTTAATTGTCCTATCCTAGTCAAATAAGAATTGTTATTTTGTTACTAAATAAAAATTACATGAAAAAAAAAACAGAATTTTTATTTTATCATAAGAACCTTTGAGCATTAACAAATTCACCATTTAGTTGTACAAGTTTCTGTAATTGATATTGAGATTACAAATAACCAAAGTTTCGATTTGACTTAAGAAAATCTTTGTTTGGGAAATAAATAGAGGACCTACACCCTTGCTAATACAGCTGAATAATCCATCACCTACCAAGAAATTTAAAAAATGTTAAATTTTAGGGTTTGTAATTCTGAATTTAGATATTAAGTAAAATTTTATAAATATATGTGGTGGCTGTGACTGAATTCTGATAAACATGTTTACTAGATTTTTAATTACAGCTTATTTGAACTTCATTTCTTTAAACAAAACCAGTTGAAAGTTAGAAGTCAATGAAAATTGACAGATTTGAGCAGTCATCTGCACTGCAATAGGTCATGGGTTTGAGGGCATCTTAGAGTTCCAGGGCCAAAGTGGATTTTTTATCATTTTTCATTAAGAATAGATTATTGTAATCAAATTTCATAAAAAATATACTACAAATATGAGTGACATCAATATAACACAGTAATATTAAAACAGGTTTGTATAAAATGGAATAATTTATTTTAAAAAGAAAAAATAAAATGAAAATTCAGAGATAATTAACTTAGATACAGGCTTATCTATAGGCTATAGTTAAACTAGATACAAACTAGAGATTTATGATCCGACAATGATGTTATTGATGGGGATGTGTATTAGCTTCACAAAGAATCCAATGAAACCCATGATGCAGAAACCAATAGCCGTAGCAATCGCAATCTTCTGGAATTCTGAAAATGGAGACACTATTATCAACACATTTCATTAATTTGTGTTGAATTATTAATTGGGTAAGATCTCATCTCAGGGCTTCTGGAATAGGTGATTTTTTTCAAGTATTTTCTTTAAGATAAATAACTATATAACATTGTCAATGCAATATTTATTGTAAACAAGTTATTATGTCATTGCTTCACAAATCTATCAATAAAAGTTCCATATGGATTGCTTATTTATGACGAATATTTATAATTTTGCTCATAAACCAAAACCAATGTTTCATTGTTTATTCAAAAAGGCTTCAAATCACTTCTGTATCTTCTCATAGGTATTTTAAACAAAAACCAGTATTTGTTTTAATGTTAGGTGTATTTTTTTTATTGCTGCTGCAAATCCTCTTAGATATATAGCCATTCAAATTGAATGTAACCGGTACAATGTTATAAAGTCTGTACAAGTGAAAGTAAATGCCCTTACTAAATCTAAGTAAAATACTAGTTTTATAAATAATGAGTCTGTTTAGCATAGTATTTATAACTTAATGCATTCTGATGATGTTGATTTTAATTTTGCTTTATATAGTAGTTTATTAGAAAGTTATATGGCTTTTTGCCAACAAGCTAGTAATTAATAGATATTTTCAAAGTTCTAGAACAAATAGTAGGTACCCTGCCATAGTACTTCTTTAGCAATATTATATTATAGTTTAAACTCACCTTTTCTGTTGGGTTTAGTGCATCTTCTGACTAATCTGATGGAATCCTTTGCGAACTGCTTACCAGGCTCGACAAACTTCGCAATTTGATCCATTTTCTGTAAGCGAACAATAAAAAATCAGGCCAATTTTAGAGGATCTGTTGATTTAATCAAATAATGGTTATCATTAATAGCGTCACGCTTACAATTTAAAATTATTGCCAACGAAACACTGTGCAAATGAGAATAAAATATGTGTTTGCCTATCGAAATCGTAGCAGATCCAATCGAAAAAGTAAAAATGATTTGACAGGTATGGGAACGTCATTCAGCCACGTCTTGAAAACTCAATGCACGTCACCACATCCGTTCGGAAACTTCAAACTGGATCCAAGTTCAAGATAGAGTTTTAGTTTATTATATTTTGGTTTTATTCAAAGAGAAAAATAATAGACTTGTGCAAAACTTGCAGATAAGAAATAAAAAAGAAGAGCACACGTCGTCGTCAACATGATTTAATAACCCTATATCTTCTTTCATCTTATAATAATATTAATTTCAAATATAGTCCATCGGGTACACTGTAAATTGGGCAGTCTAATCGCTGTTAGAGAGTTTGGGTCCCAATATTGGGTGATCGTGAGCGCCCGACCGCCCCTCACTAGTTAGTGCGTTAGGGCCGATTTATCGGGCAATGTGATCGCTGTTAGGGTGTTAGAGCGCTCAGTCGGTTGTTGCGCAGCGTGCGTATGAGTGAACGACAACGAAATTTGCCAACAGAGAAAAAGTCTTCTCAAAAGGAAAAAGAAATAATGATTTTAGCGAAATTGAAAATTTATAATTATGTATTCTTAATTTTTTATAAATTACAATAATAAAAACGAATGCTCCTCCTTTCTATTATTGTTGTGCCCGACAGGGTCCACAGTAAGACTAACTTAATTAAGTAACATTATTTTAAATTTCCTATGGAAACAATTAACTTATTGAGTATTGAGTATTTATACTTTAAGTCATGATATGCATTTCCCGTTGCTAAAAATTTTAAGGTTACAGCACAGCTAACCGTTGTTTAGCGCTTACACTAGTTCTAAATAGCGTATATTGTTTTTTTTATATATAAGGTATGATAAAAGTTTAATATATGATCAAATTGTGCAGAACTCATGCATAGTTGGTCTCTTAGAAACAAATATTTTTCACCCAACATTTTGTTTTTACAGTTAAAGTACGGGCTATGTCAATTTTTTGGTACTTTGTGAGCGCAGGAGCCATCCTTTCAACGCCACGTTTGCATGCCAACTGAGTTGGGGAGGCGATCTGGTACAGTGTAATCACGACGCCAACCGCCCTAAATCGAGGCCGATATATCGGGCCCGATAGAATGGGTAGTGTAATCGGCGCATTAGAAAGCTCAGTCGGTGTGGTCGGTTGCTACGCAGCGTACGTGTGAGACGATAGTGAAAGACAACTAGCAAAGAACAATGACCATCTGCCTAACATGCTTGGACTAGTAAAATCGAATCAAACGTAACTTGATGAAACATATGTTATTTTGTTTGCCTATGCAACTAGAACAAAGAAAGACATTAAATATATTTTTAAAAGCTGGGAGTATCGAGTAATTGTGTAATATGTTTTTGAGGTTATGTCGTATTATTTAAACTGTAGCATTTTGAGTTAGAGGTATTACAGTTGAAATATGTAAAGCACACGTCAGATAATGCCTAATCGTAGTCCTAGAAGTGCATACTTTCACATAATACTTCAAACTTGCTCCATATCTGATATATTATTTTTATTGACTGTAAGAAATAAAATCATTTTTTGTGAACCAATGAACATCAAAAAAAATAATAGAATTTTTAAGATTGCTCTCAATAACTCTACTTTTCTATCTTACTCTATAACTTATATAAAGTAGTAGTGAAAATACTAATTTCAAAAGGATATAGCAAAACAAGATGTTGATTTTTCTTTTCTTTATTACAACTCTAATGAATACCTCAGCACGGAATGCTGCAGGTCATTATATGAGCGTAGCATCCCAGTGTACATCGACCAATAAGACAATTACAGCAGTGTTCTCTTATGCCATCTAACCCGGATGTGTCATTATTCTTTAAAATGTAGACATAATATTGTTTCCTCCCAATGTCTCGACTTAATTCTACCGCTTATGATTAGGACTTTATTTATATTTAAGTCTAATTCTATCAAATTCGATTAGTCAGAAATAAAATCGATCTTGTTCTTTGAAAAGACAGGGACTTCTCTAGGAATGACATTATTAAAAAGATGCGTTAAAAAATAACCTAATTTAAACTGCGTTCTAAAAAAATAAAGACATATTTTAGATAAGATTATCCTTCTTTTCCCAGCTTTTAAAAATAAATTGTTGGTATATAATACATTCAACTTATACTACATTTTGACGATAGTTCCATCTTGGTACAAGAACTTTTTTTTCGTAGTCCATTTTGAAAATAAAATAATATTAAACGTTATTTAATATTATTTCTTTTTCTTAAAGAAATAATATTAAATCAAAATATTAAATGTCAAGTGTAATATTAAAGTTATTTAATATTATTTCTTTTTCTTACCTATATATAATGTTTTAAACATTTATAGATAGTCCTGTATGTCTCCGGTATAATTTGTGATAGCAGGGGTTCTGATATCAATGAGCTATACTTTAAAGTCATGATATGCATTTCCCGTTGCTAAAACTAAAGGTTACAACTAACCGTTGTTTAGCGATGGATTACACTAGTTCTTAATAGCGTATCTTGTTTTTTTTTTATAAGGTGTGACTTAGTTTAATATATGATGAAATTGTGTAGAACTCATTCCGAAGTAGTTTCTGAAAACTTTTGCTTCGAACAAACTCACAACGTTCAAACTGCACAGTTTGACTCTTAGAAGCAAATATTTTTTCACCCAACATATTTTTTTTTTGTTTTATTATTTACGCCCGCAGTAATATTATCTTCGCGGATGCAGGAGCCATCCTTTCAATACCACTTTTGGATGCCAACTGAGTTAAGGAGGCGATCTGGTGCAATGCAATCACAATGACGCCAACCGCCCTAACTCAATGCCGATAAATCGTGCCCGATAAATTGGGTAAAAATATAATCCAAAGCTTCCAAATTTTGTCATACTGACTTATAGAAATATATATCTTATGGGTAAATTTTCAGAGCGGCCCTTTTTTCGGTCGGTCATTTCGGCGGTCACTGCGATGGCGAATTTTATTTTTCACTAAATGTGTTATAGATAAAATGTGTTATAGATTTAGGTGCTGTGAAGCTAATAATTTGTGAGGCAGCCTTTGAAATAAAGTACTTTCGGAGTTTTTTTTTCTTATTTGCGCCATCAGAATGATAGTATAAGCCAGGGGTCGGCAACCTTTTGAGTCAAAAGAGCCAAAAGTTACAATTTACAACATTTTTTAGTTTTTAAAGAGCCACAAAATGTTTTTATGCCTACAATAAATAAGTAATGTAGTCCTACTCTCACTGACATCGTCTTACTGCGCAGGACTTTGCTTATTGTGACCAACTAGGTTTCGCATTCTTAGAGTTCACTCTCTCTTTCCTTCCACTCTCTATATCCGATGGGACGGTTGACCGACACGACCGGTGAGAGATCAGGCGCAGGACCGACGGCTTAACGTGCCGCCCCGATGCACGGAATCAACTACTTTCGGTCAATCATGGTGATTCAATCACAATAAATAGTACTTGCATAAATAAAGTAATTTTAATCTGTTTATTTATAAGACAAAATAATATTTATGTATTCATATATGAGTAGTTTTTTTCATAAAAAATTAAACATATTTATGGTATTAATAATTATTTAAAATTAAAGTAAAAAAAATAAAACAATTAAACATTTAGTTACAACACTAATTTGTACTTCAATAGCCTCGTCCAGACTGAGCGCGCACCTTTAGGCGAGGCCCGCCTCGCGCGGCATGCGCCGAACCGCTCGGTCGGTGTGGTGACTGTGGACTGCCTCGGGCGAGGCGGACGCTTGCTATGCCTCGGGCCAACGTGCCCACAGCAGTTCACACTTACCGAGCGGGGCGGCGGCGCATGCCGCGCGTGGCTGCGAGCTCAGTCTGGGCGCGGCAGCAACAATCATAATGATGAGCAAGGAAATTCAATCGGTTTTGCCTGGATATTTAAAAATAAAATTTAAACTTTAACATAACATATATCTGAGCAAACAAACTCAATAGGAACTTTGGCTTTGCATAGTTATTTAAGTAAAAAAAAATAATCTTTACTAAACAACAACAGTGATGGACGATGGCGCGTATCGCGGGCGCGGTCGAGGGGTGTCGTGAAAAGCGGGTACAAGCAAAGACTATGTGGCTGAGAGATAGAAGTGGTGCTGAATCTTTGTTAATCGATTCAGAAAGTTTTAAAATGTTTTTTTTATAAAATAAATAATATTTGTATTCGGAACTAAAGAGCCGCAGCTTCCCCTCCAAAGAGCCGCATGTGGCTCGCGAGCCGCAGGTTGCCGACCCCTGGTATAAGCTATTAAATTACTCAATTAATTATCCAAATACATTTCTTATACATATATTCGCATTAAAAGGGCTATTAGATATCTACCTTATTTATTTATTAATATGAAACTTGTAGGTACTAAGAGCATCAATAGCACAGTACTGTAATATAAATAAAAATATAGTATGTTTAGCTCGATTTCATATTATCATCGTATAGTTAATATTATGCATTAATTAAGCATTTAGAATAAACATTATAAAAATAATTTGTTGACCTCTCGCTCTTATTCGATACATTTGTTATACAAGATGCATTTAAAATGACTCTCCAAATTTTTTCTAGGCATTAGGTATCGTTAATAGATCACATATATGAAAAAAAAACAGTATGTAAAATTTTCAAAATGAAGTGTAAACTTTTTGTAATTACAAGATAATTATAACATTCGCATTGTCACATTAGTTATGAACGAAACGAGCAGGGGTAGCAAGGGGCGCGGGCGCAGGGGATGCGCCGCGCATGCACCGCCGACGATATCTGCTCGGTTTTTTATTTAGTCGGCAACATCAGTCACCCGCGCACAATCCCTTTGAACGCACGCACTTTCGCCTTTGCTTCCGTGTTGCGCGCCACCCGCCGCAGCCCCACACTTTGCGCGTCGGAATGTATTCCAATCGCGAATATTACGAAATGGTGCGGTGTTACATTTTAAGCGGTGAAAGTTTAAATGCAGCTCGGAGACTATACGAAACAGAATCCATCCCAGCCCTGCAAAATTAGGGATTAATAAACCCCGCAGTACCTAGTCGCGAG